AGAAGAGAGAGAGAGAGAGAGAGAGTGGATATAAGTTGGAAATGGGTTGGAGGAGAAATAACATGGGAATTGGCAATAATGATGCATAGTGGATATAAGACACCCAAAAAAAAAAAAACTCAGTCGTCTCTTTTGTGAAGCAAAGTCTAGCACTGAAGATATTGATTTGCTTAAGGTCAAGATATAAAGTAGATCTTGCGTCATCATATCTTAAGATAAACTGATTTTTATATATTCTTTAAAAAACTGGAACACGTATGTGCTTGTCGAGAATACATATTTTATATTTTCCTTCATAAATAATATGTATGTGATTCTTATTATCTATGGTATTTGATAGTGATCTTTTACATCGTGGCAGGGGGAGTCAGCACGGCTTGGTTCGGTCCCGGGTGCGTGAGACCATCCACGTCGTCGTTCGGGTGACGAGGATGGTTGTCAGGTGAGGTCGGGCTTTGGCTCCGGCTCCAAAGTCGGGAAGCCCCCCCTTTGGATGGTTGTCTGCCTCTTCGTTGTCGGTTCTTGTACACAGGTTGGGGTCGGAAAAGAGGCTCCCAATTTCGACTCATTCGAATATTTTATTAGAATTGAGTGGAAAATGAGTCTAGAATCTCCTATGGTGTTGACCCCACGATGGGTTTTTATCCTTCCGTCAAGGGATCGATCGTACCTGTCATATTCATGATCGTCGACTCATCGGGCGGTTGGCTTACTCCTGGAGCCTATGCGGGGTGTTCTTCGTGTCATGGCATCAAACGATAGTGTCGTACTCGGTGTCGTCTCGATCTTTACGGGATGACGTGATACTTGGTTGGCGTCGTCTCGATCTTCGTGGGATGACATTGTACTTGGACGATAGTGTTGCACTTGGTTGATGCTGTGTACCTGATCGGCACTGTCCTGATCTTCGTGGGACGATGCTGTCAGTCGACGCGGTCCCAACTTTTGCGAGACGACATTGTACTCTATCGGTGCTATCCCGACTCTCGCTGGATGACGCTATACTTGGTCAGCGTCATCTCGACTCTTGCGGAATGGTGTCGTACTTGGTCGACTTCATCTCGACTTTTAGGGAACGGAGTTTGGGGGGGGGGGGGGGGGGGGGGGGGGTGTGTGATCTGATAAGTTGATCTTGACGTTGAGGTGGCTGTGAATAGTGACAAAGAGGACAAATTACCGAATGCACTATCAGTACATAAAACTGCACATATATGCTTTCTGGGGCTTTAGGCTTTTATGTGGAAACGTTCATATTTGTTTAACATTACAACACGATTTGTTTAACATTACAACTTTAAAGGGTTTTGGTGTCTGTAACATATTTTTGTTATTGTTGTGGTTGCTGTTTAATGACGAGGGGATTGGATTGACTGGGGCTTGCGGTGTAACAAGGTTTAATAGTTTTTATTACACCTGACCTAGATTGTTGTTGTGCCATGATGTTTTTGTTATTGCTCTCCTGACCTAGTTTTTCCCTCAAATTTGCCTCAGGACTCTTTTCTTGTATCGATCACACAGTGAGGCGTCAGTGAAATGGGCACAGCTATAAACTTCTATCAAAAAAAAAAAAACTTCTATCAGGACCATTGAAGACATTGATAAGCAGACATTCTGATTTTGTTTACAAGCTCAATGTATTTTACCTTCATATTTTAATTGTGCATACTTATGCACGCACATAAACACACACATATTATATATATATATATATATATATATATATAATCTTTGTAGGGGAATGGAGTAGAATCACAATGTTTGTATTTAAAATGTTTATAACGCTAAAGTACAAACATATTTTCTTGGCCTGCCTCGGTCAATTTTCTTGGCATGCTGACACATTTTGGTGTTTTTTTCTTATGATCGTTGCAAATCCAGCTGAAATTGTTGAGACCAACTACATTAATTGCGTCCTACACTTGCACCGCAAATCATTCTTAGGCTTGCCCTGGAAGCTTCTTAGCAATCTTTAGTTGCATATACTTTCCTTGCTTTTCTGACAAAAATTCGCAGCAATAGAACGCCAACACACATCTGCTGACAAAAGAATTTCAATGCAAAAATCAGACAAAAATAAAATAAAATAAAGAACCGGTAGAGAAGACTGCAAATTTCATCCACGATTCGTTTGTCTACGATACCTTCGGAATCAGCATTCTATTCTCATCTTTGTCCTGCCGTTGCCTCCAATTTGGCATCACTTGGGATAGCATCATCTCATCTTTTTAATGTCTGTCCTATGATAAAATGAAATCTGTCCTGGGCTGGCTTCATCTAATTACATTTTTTATGCGCTGCCGAGTTAAAGAGGACAGAACTAGTTGGAAAGAAGGCAACAAAACTAGTTTTTTTTACATTTCTACATATCGACTAGCACTGAAAACCATTATAAATTAATACTACAGACAGTATCCCCAAATGTTGCTCTCCCATGCATGCTTGCAGAAACCTGAAAAAATAAGCAATAAAAAAAAACTACTGGTTCTCACACCAAATTACGTCAGAGACGGTTAAGGCCTGACGTTTTGCAGAAACGAGGAGCAAACAAGCATATAGTCTCAAATCCAACAGCAAGCAAAAATAATAATAAACGTGCAATATATATATATATATATATATATATATATATATATGTGTGTGTGTGTCTGTGTATGTGTATTTATATATATGTGTATATATATATACATATGTATATACATCAACAATGATAATAATACTATGACAACAACACATAATATAAAAAAATAGTGACATTGATAGTGATAGCAGTAAGAATAATTAAACACCTACCTCATAAGGCCCATTAGATTCAACGACAATTTGGCTTTTCTTTCCTCTTAACTACCTACTCTCATGAAAAATCACCACAATTCTCAAAACCAGAATAAAGAGGCTTATGACAGCATATGGTTTAACTATGAATGTTGGGCACACATAAAACTCATCGCCTGGTTCCGACACTGAATCACTGTTGAAACTGTCTATACAGATTCATCTCAAGGAAAATTATATAAAAGCTAAGAATATAAATAGAAACAGTAAATGCATATCATGACAGCCGTATGTGGAGATGCTTATATTGGACAAAAGTAATGCCAGAAAGAAAGATAGGGAGGGCATACCCCTTGCATATATCTCCTAAATCCGTAATTCATGCCAATAAAGTTAATTTAAATAAAAACATGCCGGAAATGGCAGGAGCAGCAGTTCTGTGTGTACGGAATCAGAAATATAAAGACAAATTGCAAAAGTACTTGAAAATGAACCAAAAAAAAAAGAAGCAAAAAGCTCAGTGCACTAGGCAATAACAATATAAACCCAGAAAGAATAGGAGATCAAAGGTGAGCTAAAGCTATATCAAACATATAAAAAGGCAACTTATCACACTTTTTCCTCCACTTGAAATATGCTTCTTAAGTTGGCCAATTGAAATCAATTCCTTGAGTCAAGCCAGTGACATATATGTCCAGGATTTTTAACGGGATCATTTGATCCTGGTTACTATCCACACACAGATTGTGATGACAAACTGCTGTTATGACATATTTCTAAAAAATATAGATCTTGAGAAAGCCTCTAGCTCTATCATACTGATACAGCGACCTACATACATGGCGTGCATGGAGAATGAAAACGGGGCAAATACCTGTTCAACTGATATAAACCAATGGCAATAGACGCAAGAAGTAATACAATGATCCTAAATGACTTTGAACTTTCTTAAATGATGCATCTGAAATGACTCGTATAAACTAAACAGTGTCAGTAAAGTTGATCAACCGAGATAAGTTTCAGCAGCCTATAGCTTATTTATAACAAAGCAAGACATATTCATCAACTTCACAAACAGAATAAGTGAATTACAGCCTTTTTCTCAAAGAAAAAGGTTGAAGAGTTTGCTCGGTCGCAGCAAAAGATCTACATAGCTGGATCAAAAAAGAGTTCATGGTAGACAAACTCCTTGTACCACTGCCAGTGACATGTTCACATGCACAAGAGTCAGTTATTAGGGGCATTAAAGTCGATAGAATTCCTAAGACCACATGGTAGGTCGAACCTACAACTCGAAATTTCATCCAAAACAGTGAAGCCCCGTTAGCACCTATACAAACGCATCCAACCTTGCGGAGGAAGACAGCCTGTCCAACGTGTTCACTAGGAGGGTGAAATGACCACGGTAGCTCCCCAAACCTTGCAGACAATGCATTAAATTCCTGTTCTCCCATTAGAGAATTGTACGGACGTGCGTTTGCATTTACTAGTGTTCGCTGTTGCATGCCATCACGATTTGCACGACGCTTTGATGGTGGGCAAAAAATAAAAGGCGAACTTACGGTTGGTTGTAGCCTAATCGTGATCCGGCAATCAAGAATCGGAAAGGAGGGAGGGAAAGGCTACCATGGATTTCTATTTCCCACAGAACACAACAAAAACAAGAATTCACGATGCAAACTCTCAACATCTGAGAACTAGAACGCCAAAAGGAAGATGTTAGTCGACGGAACCGCGTCTGTTTAAACTCGCTCGCTCTGACGGCAAAAAAAATACTTTTATGACAGAACCTGAATTCCTTCTTGGAAAACCACAGAACAATAATCACGCAGCCAAAAAGATCGTTGAAGAAAATGTCTAGTGACTTCAAGAATCCGCAACCAACAACAAACGGAAAATTCAAAACAGGATCAGAACCCCCTTCTGAAAATTCACGAAACAAGAAACACGCACATAGAACAAGTTTCACGCCGCCAAATGGCTTCAAGAATCCGCAACCAACAACAAACGGAAAATTCATAACAGGATCAAAGTCCCCTCCTGAACGAACAATCATGAAACAAGAAACACACCCATAGAACAAGAATAACGCCGCCAAAAGATCGACGAAAACAATGGCATCTGGATTCAAGCATCCGCCAAAAGATCGACAGAATCGTCTGTCGTTGGATTCAAGAATCGGAAACCAACAAGAAGCAAAGAAAATTATCACAGGATTGGAAGTGCTTCTCGAAAACCATGGAACAAGAATCAAGCTGCCAAAGATCGAAGAAACCGATGATATTCTACTCCAAGAACCTACAATCAACAACTTGGAAAAGGAAAAGATACATCAGAATGACCATTACCTTTTGTGCGATCGCCTGTAACCCTCCCCACTTTTGCCTCGATCATCGCGGTGCGAAGATTCAACCACAGGACGCAAAAGCTGAAATGGGGCCGCGCCTTCGTAACCGCCATTGATATATATATATATATAGAGAGAGAGAGAGAGAGAGAGAGAGAGAGA